AGTTCAGATTCATAGTGATCATCCTGATTACAGCCTACCTAGCAGCTAGGATTACAGGCATATGCCACCACACCTGGACTCCATTGCTGGCTCAGTGTGCCCGGGGGTGGGGGCGGTGCAGTATGTGGTACCGGGGATCGAACCCCAATCCCTGCACTTGCCTAAGCAGGCACTTAGTCCACTGAGCTATCTCTACAGCCCTTGTTTTAATTTTTTAAAGAGAATAAAAAGTAGTAAAAATTTAGAAGTGATACACAATTTCACTAAACAGAATGGTAAGAATTCAATAATGGTTATTGTATTGTATATTGTTTGTCTTCAAAGGAGATGTGCAGATCATCAGATATATACATGTGAAATTCATCAAACAATTAAGTATTAACTGCTCCTTTCAATAAACCAATAGAAATTAATCGTACAATTATCTATCTTGTATACATATATATTTCCCTTCCTTCGATCTTTTCTTTTTTCTTCATCCCAGTTGTGTTTTCTTTTTAGAAGTTTCTTTCCCTTTCACAGTATCTATTGTACCTTTCAGATTTTATTTACTTTTTCAGGTTCAAATACTAGAAGAGAATATGATGTTTATACATGCAGGTATGATTTATTTCACTTATGAATATGGTTTCTAGTTGTATCCACTTACCTTATAGCTGAGTAATACTCTATTGTATAAAAATACCACATTTTAAAAATCTATTCTTTTTTTTTTAAATCTGTTCTTTGGGTGATGGGAATTTGGGATGTTTCCAAGATTTAGCTATGACAAATTTTGCTTCTATAAACATAGGTGCACATATATTGCTGTGGTATGATGTTTTCAGTTTTTCTGAGAAATACCCACAAGAGAAATAGCTGGGTTGAATGGGATCTCTAATCCTAATTTTCTGAAGAATCTCCATATTTATTTCCGTACTGGTTGTACCAATCTTGGTCCTTCCAACAGTGGAGAAGGGTTCCTTTTCCCCACTGCCCCTCCAGCACTTGTTATTGGTTGACTTCTTGATGATAGCCATCCTTTTGGGGGTGAGATGGAACTAATTATTGTTTTAATTTGCATTTCTCCAGTGCTATTGAACTTTTTTTCATACATTTTTTTGCCATTTGTATTTCTTCATTTAAGAAACGTGTATTCAGGGCCAGCAGTATAGCTCAGCAGACTAAGCGCTTGCTTAAGTAAGAGCAGGGACCAGGGTTCGATCCCTGGCTCTGCATGCCACTCCAGCCCTGCCCCCAGGTATGCTGAGCTAGCAATGTGGTCTGGGCGTGGTGGCGTGCGCCTGTAATTCCAGCACTAGGGAGGCAGAAATCAAGAGGATCACTACAAGTCTGGGCTGTGTAGTGGGACCCTGCACACACAAACATACACACACCAAAAAAAAAAAAAAAAAAAAAAAACAAACACCTAGAAATGTGTATTTATGCCAGATTATGCCAGATGAAACGAATCAAATAAAATACCACAAGCAAGCAAGTATGTGAATGACTTTATTACAATGATTTATTTATACATTCACAATATTATACCATGAATTTTAAAAAATTCAGATATATTACTCAAAAATGGATACAAACTACCAGTGGTATAATTCTTTGGAGTGAAAAAAGTAAACATAAAAATAAGAAGAAAAAGCAACAAAATATGGAAGAAAAGAAGTAGATAATTAGGTCTTTGAATTTTGTGGGTAATTTTTTTTTTCTTTTGTATTTAGTGCAGGGTCTACGGGGTCTCACTACACAAACGGGACTCCTAGTGATCCATGAATTTTCAACCTCCCAAGAGCTGGGATTAGAGGTGAACAACACCACACCTAGTCTCCATCTCTGTCTCAATGCACCCTGGGGGTGGGGCCAGCATGGCATGCTGGGGATCAAATCCCAGCTGCAGCATCCGCCTAAGCAGGCACTTTAATCCGCTGAGTTATCTGGCTGGCCCAACAATGTTTTCTTTTTTTAATACTTTACATGTTCTAGATATAAGTTCTTTGTCTGAGGGACAATCAGTAAAATTTCTTTCCAATTCATGAGATTTCTTTCTACTATGTTGGTGATTTTTTTTTTTTTGATGTGCAAAAGCTTTTCAATAAGTTGAGATCCCAGTTGTTGATTCTCTGAAGTATTTCCATTGAAGTTTGATCTTTTGTTCGTGAACTCTCTGCCAATCCTTAAATCTTAAAGATTTCTACCTATTTTCTCCAGCAGTAGATTTAGTGTTCCTGTTTCAATATTTAGACCTTTGATCCATTTTGACTTTAGTTTAGTGCATGGTGATAGACATGGGTCTAATTATATTCTTTGGCATTTATCGAGCCAGTTTTTCCTTTTTTTTTTTTTTTTTTTATTAAAGAAGCTATCTGTCCCCCAGTGAACATGCTTGCTCCTTTGTTAAAGATAAGTTGGCGGAGTGTGTTTGTAGTTGTATCTACATCCTTTAAACTGTTCCAGTGATCCTCAGGTCTGCTTTTGCCAGCACCAGGCTGATTTGATCACAGTAGTTTGTATTATAAGTTCAGGTCAGGGATTGTGATGCCACCTGCCTTTCTTTTGTCCAGAATTGCTTTTGCTATTCTAGGTCTCTTCTGGTTCCAGATGAATTTTAGGACTGTTTTCCGTAGCTCTATGATGAGATTCCTTCCTTATTAGCTTTTAAATGTAAATTTCTTTTTAAAAAATCCCACTTAGAGTGTTTAAGATTAATTACACAGTTCATTGGCTTGGAGCCCCCAGGGGACTGATGGAGCACATTTTTGTACGTGTCTGGGTAGATCATGGAGGTGTGACCTTGGGTCACATCCCTAGCCCCACACCCCTTCCACTCTGACACTGTTCCTCTACTTCTTAGTTGCCATGAACTAAGCAGCTCTGACCCACAACTCCCTTCAGCCTTGAGGTTTCTGCCTTGGGATCAGCTGAACATGGAGTAAATTCCCTTAAAATAGGAGCCAGATTAAACCTCTTCTACAAGATGTGGGTGTCTGGTATTAGACCCCAGTAGTGGTAAAGCTGCTAATGTACTGCTTGGCTTCTTTTACAGGCCAGGAATTTCCTTTGCAAGTGAGTTTAAAGATCTTACCAAACCAACTTGGTGTGTGGCCCCTTCATTTACAGTAATCAAGTCCCTGCTCATCGCACTTTATATTTCTCTCAGGATTTTCACCTCTTTATGAATATTTTCTTCCCAGCATATAATTGTATTATTTTTTTCTATTTCTTTTCCTCCACATTTTTTTTCAATCTTATTTTTATGTTTATATCTTCCTAAGAGTATGTAGCTCCTGAGTACTCAAAGTGAGATGGAACACAGTTTACCACATTCAAAATGCTGTCAACTATTAGGCAATGCCTCTATATCCTTATCTGAAAGCCACTGGCTATTTCCACTGTATAGCCAAATAGCTATTCTAGGACCCTATTTTCAGTGGCATAATCCCACACTTGGAGATCAAGACCTGAAGAAAGAAGCAAGTACCCAATAAACATGGGGATGGGCCTTCTGCATGCTCAAGGTGCTGGTCAGATCATATACATACACACATATCTTTCAAATAGAAGGAGGCTCAGTTTAATGGATCATATAGCTGAAAGTCCAGCAGCAAACTTGTATCAAGCTTGGATGAATATTTATATAGTAGTAGTCTGTCAATTATGTTGTCAAGAATGTTTTTCTCTACATCTCATGGCATGGCTTCTTTCTTTGGTAGGTTATTCTCTTGCTATAGCAAGATGGCTACTAGTAGCTACAGGTTTAAATTGACCTTGCTTAATGTTCCACGTGGAAAAGATTATTTATCCTCACCAGATGAACACAAGTTCTACCACTGACTAGAAAAGTGGGTGATGAATTATCCCATGAACTAAGTAATTATTTTGGTCATGGAGGTCATAAACTCATTGTTTATACCTGGACTTTGGGTTTATCTTGGAGATAAGAGAGGGGGTGTGAGCCCCATCTGAAGGACTGGATCTGAGAATAGAGCGTATGTGTTTCTGAAATAAAAAAAGAACTGAATTCTAGGTATCTATTGATAACAGCGTCTACTATTTTTTTTTATTAGTAGTAAGAAAGAGACCCATGACATATGAGTTCTAAGGCTGACTTAATAGCTGAACTGGTGAACTAGGTTTCTTAAACTCCAAGTGACAGAGGATGAAATTAGTCATTTAGTTTTACCAGGGATTTGTTTAGTTCTATGATAAAGGAAAAGAAAGAGAAAATTGTAAAGGCAAAGAGCCAAGAATTCATTCGTTGTACAAACACATGTTGATTAATTCTGGTGCTGGACATTGATCTACTATATGCCAAGCTCTGTGATAGGGTCTGGGGATGTAGATGAGACTCAGTGCTTTCCTTAAAGAATTTACAACCTAGGGGGAGAAAGTAAGAAGTTTCAATTGATAGCCACAACACAAAGGGCTAAGTGCAGTATGCCATTGTCTCCCAAGGTAATTCTGGTACCAGTATCTTCAGTCTGAAAAACATTTTCTTTCTTTTTTTTTTTTTTTTTGGCAGAACCGGGGATTGAACTCAGACCCTTGTACTTGCTAGGGAAGCGCTTATTCCACTGAGCCATCTCCCCAGCCCCTGAAAAACATTTTCTAAAGAGTCAAGCCCAGCTCATGTACTAGGAGAATGTCATATCAATCATGCACCTACATCACTCACTAATAATCTGTTTTCTCTGGGATTCTATCAAGATTCTTCACCAGTTGCTGCTATGCTGTCTCTAGGGTAGATGATTGTTCAAAAAGAAGGGACTGGTGAATGAAAGCAAGAGACAGGAAAGGGAATATTGTGGGACTGTCCTGCTTAAAGGTTGTATATAGTTAGTTTTTTGGACTTATGTGTAAACATAAGAAGTATATAATTCTTTATGCCTATTTTTAAAATATATTCTAATTTTTAAATGTT